ACCAAAGAAAATCTAAGATGATTTTAGTAAGGGGATATCATATGCAAAAATGGGTTAGTTCAGGGGCTTAAGAAATAAATTTTCCTTCTCGATGCTTCGGTTTCCCAAGCAAATGAAAATCCCCAAAGTTTGCCCCTTTCTCCTCCTCTGCCCTCTGTTCTGGTGGGCTTGTGGGTTTTGGGACATTAGGGTTTCAAATTTTCTTCCCCAGGGCAATTGCAGCAAAACAGAGATCTTCTGCTGTTATATTTTGTCTTTTTTGATGTTCTCTGTTCAAAGATTTTAACAGTTGGTGGTAAATAGACTCCAGGGTCTAGAAATTGGCAGTTTCTGTTAACAGTTTAGTGTTCTTGGATCTCTGGAATAAAAGGTAAAGAACCCACATTTTCTTCTTTATTGTAATTCCCGTATTTAGTTGTTTTTAGTATAAGTTTGATTTCGAGCTTTGCAAGAAGTCAGTGGTTTTTCATTGTCTATGTTCTTTGGTTCTTGGGTCTCCATTTTGTCCTTAAATGATGGGAAAAGTGTCAAAAATTACTTTTCTTTTGATGCATTGGGTGTGTTTGAACTTTTTCTTGGTTAGTCTTTGAGTTGCATGCTCTTTCTGAACGTGTTCTTTTTTTTCTTTTCTTTTTCTTATTTTCTTTCAGTCGTTAAGATGAACTCTGCAGACATTGTGAATTTGTGTAGTGATGATGAACTTGGGGAGGTAGATGTAAAACCAATCAAAGTGGAGCCATGTCTTGTTGGGGGCTCAGTGAAGCGAAAACAGCATCAGAAAGCCCAAGCAGCTGAGCTTCATGACTCCAATATCCAACCTAGAACACAAGAATCTGAAGAAAATAGAAGCTCAAATGCTTTAAGTACTGGTCATAGCAGCAATAGTGTTTTGGAGCAGGGTCTTTCCCCAGTGGGAATGGATGATGCGGTTGTTTCTTCAGTGGCAACTCTATCTCCAGCTCCCATCTGTCGCCAGTTTTGGAGAGCCGGGGACTATGATGGGGGGCTTAGTTCAAAAGTCACGCTCCAAAGTAAGTAGCTACCATATTTATAATATATTTTTTCCCTCTTTTTTTGCAAATGAGGTTCATAAGAAAGCCTTCGTGCAAGCTTCTTTGAAGATGCTTGGTTTATTTATTTATTTATTTATTTTTTGAAATCAGATAGCAAGAATCATCTGCAAGTTCATCCTATGTTCCTTCATTCCAATGCCACTTCACATAAGTGGGCGTTTGGTGGTATATCTGCTGTATATGTCTTTCAGTCTTTTATTGCATTTTGTTCTTCTGCATATGATTGAGTTTGCATTTACTACATTAGTCACTGGTTTCTCACTGTTTCAGCTGTGGCAGAACTACTTGATAATGCCATTGATGAGGTGAGTTTCCATGTGACTTATTTGATTTGTTAGTTTGGGTTTTAAGTAGGCTGATAGAGCATGATTGAGCTGTTTTTAATTCAATTTATTTAATATTGAAACTTTAATCATATTGAGGACATTAGAGAAAGGTATTGAGTATTTTTGAGGACATAATTGTCTAAGTATACATTTTAAATTAGTGCTTTTGAATATATTGATACTATGAAGAGGATGGGAATTCCAAAGAGCACATTTGGTTTGGTTGTTATAGTGACTATTCTTTAGTCAAACCCTACAAATAAGGTAAAATTAAGAAACTTACTGAAGAGCTAGGAACACATATTTCCTAAGATTGATAATTTCCTCCTAAATTAGTTGATGATTAATGAATGGCTACTACCACCTCCCTTTAAGGAATGTGTTTTCCTTGTTTTTTCCCCTAATCTAAAAGAAATCATCAGTCTTAAGGAATATATGAATTCCTAAGTTCTTAAGTTAATATTTTTGTCTTATTTTTAGGTTTGACCAAAGAATAGCCACTATTCCCAACCAAACATAACCAAAGTAGTTGGCCTTTGTGCAATTCCTATTGAGGTATGGAGATATTTAGGAAGGTGAATTTTGTCTTGCTGAAGTTGTTCAGTGTATTAAGTGTATATTTGGAATTTTGGCCTGACTTCTAGAATAGGAAATTTGGCCTAACTTCTAGAATAGCTTCTATGATGTAGAAGTGCGAGATTGGCCAAAATTGGTTTTCTTGTAATCACTTCTGGCTTTCTCTTGAAGCTGATTTGAATTTCTAGATTGCTTGAAGCTGTAGTTGCTCATTTGTAGCTTTGGCAAGGAGCTTTTACTAGTAGAATTTTGAATTTAATGAAATTCGTAAATTTTCATAATTTTCAATAGTTATTGACATAATTTTCTTTAGCAACACTTCAAAAGCTCTTTTCAAATAGAATGACTTCAAAAGCTTTAGTAAGGAATACAATTGATGCTTGGAGGAGCATTGTTTTACTAACCTTCTAAATTGTTGTAGCATCAAACTTATGAGTCATGTTATGAAGTTGGAGTGGATGGTTGAGCATCAATTCAAATATGGTGCTAGAATATTGAAAAATTATTTTGGCTTTGTGTTTGAAGGTGACTATTTATTATGATGTAAGAGCAAAGAGAAGAAATTTCAAGAAGCTGAAAAAAGGGCAAAGAGAAAATGGAGAGGTGGATTGATTAAGTAGTAGTGATTCCACAACAAAAGAAGGGGAAAGAGTGTCAAAGAAATGGTGAAGATTTCTCATTGATAAATAAAGTTAGAAGAAAAATAAAAAGTGGGAGGTTTAATGTTGTCAACAAAGTTTCTTGCCAATGAATATAAATGAGGTTAAATAGAGAGAAGAAAGTTGATAAACCCACATAGTTTATATTATTCTAGGAAATTAAGATGTAAAGGCTTGTTTGGTTTGAGAGGGGAAAAGTAAGTACCACATGGAAAGTGTTGGAAAAATATTATACGGAAAGTTGGAAAGTTCAAAAGTATTGTATGGAAAGTTTGTAATTTTTGTGTTGATGTTTTGTAGGAGTTTTATTTGGGTGGTTAACCTTTGCATGTTTAGTAAGAAATTAATATTGAAAGTTTGGGGAAAGTTACCAAGTGGTCTTGCATTATAGAAGATGGGGATAACTTTTTCCCTTAAAAAAGGTGGGAAGATATATTACTTACTGAAAATTTCAACAATTGTGTTGGAGAAAATGCTAAAAATGTCAATTTTGCCCTTTGTTTGTAATGGTATTCAGGTGTAAATACATGAATACCACTACAATTTCTTGATTGATGAGGAAAGTAATATTACTAACCAAACACAACCTAAGAGAAAAGAGTACAAATATTAGTAAAGAGACAGGAGGAGGGGCTAGTTGCGTAAGAAGGGATGATATTGTGGCAAAAAAAGGAAGTGGCGAAGTTGGAGAATTATGATAGGGTAAAGAGATAAGAAGATGATAAAAAGACAAAGAGGTTTAATGATGGTAAAGGAAGTGGTCTCACTAGTGATCATGACACAAATTGAATAGAAAGAGAAGAAAGTGAGTTGACTGAGCAATGTAGTTTGCATTATGGTTGGTAATTAACATGTTAAAGAAAACAGTAGAATTTTAAAGGTAAGAAGTTGAGGATGGGAGAGACAAAAGGAAAAGGCTGATTGCCTAAGTAATGGTGATGCCATGAAAAGAAAGGGAAAGAGAATTGAGACAATAAAGAGCTGAGAAGGCAATGAAAAAGGGAGGTCTAATGTTGTTAACAAAGTGCTTTTGTTGATAATCATGGGGTGAGGTTGAATAGATAGTGAAGGAAGCAAATTGATAGAGTAGGAGTTAAGACAAGAAGAGGTAAGACAAAAAATATATATATATAAAACATAGAAGTGAAGTGGATGAAGGGTTAACTTGTGGGATTGCATCTGTTGGGATGGTTCTTGAAACTTTCTTGCAATCATTTATACAAGTCACAGTCTTTTCTTGGAGATGGAATGAATTATTGTTTATGGGAAAAAAGAGATATGAAATCTGATCCAAGGGAAGATCAAGAAAGAAAAGTAGAACTCTTCTAGTAATGCCTGAACTTTATGCCTCATTGTTCCATTAGTATTTTATCATTGGGATCTTGTAGAGACAGACTTAAACTAATTTAATTGGTGTGGTGGTTTCATTAAATTGCTGTACTTTTTTTTAATGACTAGCAGTAGATGCATGTATTTGCTAAATGTCTAGATATGTTCTTAATGTTTTTCACTTCACATCCTACTTTCTTTCAAATTGGATAGATCCAAAATGGAGCCACTTTTGTCATTGTAGATAAAATCTCAAACCCAAGGGATGGTAGTCCGGCATTGTTAATTCAAGGTATTTACCCTTTCATCAACAGTGAAAGTTATACTTTTAATAAAAGTAAATTATGCTGTCTTTGAACGTCAAGAAAAAAAAATCTCTTTTTTCTAAGATAAGGATATTACCTAACTTTTGCCCTCCTATGACTTACCACTTTATTGTTAGATGATGGCGGTGGAATGGACCCTGATGCAATGCGTCACTGTATGAGTTTTGGATTTTCAGATAAGAAGTCAAAATCTGCTATTGGACAATGTAATAATAATTTGGTATATAATTTTCAATTTTTTGTAGCTTGTTTCTTTCAATCCATATCACATATATTGTGGTTTTCAGATGGTAATGGTTTCAAGACTAGTTCTATGAGACTCGGCGCTGATGTTATCGTCTTCAGTCGTCACCTCAATAATAGGTTTGATTCTAACTACATATTTGTTTATTTACATTTTTCTTCTAAAAGGAGTTATTTATAAGTACATGTAGAACAAAATATAGATTTTCTATGTATGGATATGTAGGTCGTTAACGCAAAGCATAGGTCTCCTCTCTTATACATTCCTGACGAAAACAGGCCATGACAGAATAGTGGTTCCTATGGTAAGCATTCTTTCTTTATTTAAATTTTTGTTTAGAGTATTCATGCCTTTACTTTTCTTAAGGTCTTCCATAAATTGCAGGTGGATTATGAGTTTAATACATTGACTGGGTCATTAGATGTGTTGCATGGTAGAGAACATTTTGTGGCTAATCTTTCCATTTTATTGGAGTGGTCCCCATATTCAACAGAAGCTGAGCTTCTGAAGCAAGTAGGCTTTCTACATTTTCTTATGGTTTGGTGAATTATTATTATTATTATTTTACTATTGTTATTTAGAAGATTAAGGACTTATGTTTTTTGTCAATTGCAGTTTGATGACATTGGCTCCCATGGCACAAAAATTGTTATCTACAATTTATGGTTCAATAATGAAGGGAATTTAGAGCTAGACTTCGATTCTGATTCTAAGGTTGATACCACTGAAGTCTGATGACAATGGCTCTCTCTTTCTCACATCATTTTGCTATGGATACCACTGAAGTCTTTTTAACATTGGTTGTAGGACATTCGGATACAAGGGGACACTAAGAAGATTGACACAATACCTGCTTGGAGAACTGTAAATGAACAGAATATTGCTAACCAATTCAACTATTCTCTGCGTGTGAGTTGATGCCATGGACAATATATTTATATATTGTATATGCTTCATAAGTGAAATCATGCTAAGTTGAAGTCTTTCCTGGCATGCAGGTATACTTGTCTATTCTGTACTTGCGAGTTCCTGAAACTTTCAAAATAGTGTTGCGTGGGGAAGTTGTTGAGCATCATAATGTTGTTGATGATCTTAAATACATAGAATACATATTGTATAGGCCTCAATCTGGTGGAAATGTTGAGGTGGGATTTTCTGATTCCAAAGTTTATTCTTTCTGGTTGCTTCTTTTTGTGGCCAAGATTGACACTCTGGTTTTTGGGCAGGGTACAGCTGTAACTACAATTGGTTTTCTTAAACAAGCTCCGCAAGTTAATATCCATGGATTTTGTGTGTACCACAAGAACCGTCTTATTTTGGTAACTGTCTAAAGAAGTTTTTACCTTAGGTTCTTAGACATTTACAATTCAAAAAATGTAATTAATCACTTTTAATGCTTCTTAGAGAAGATGGATGCTTTGATTTCCCCATAATTGCTTTGTTTTTGTTTTTTCTTTTTTAAATGTATTCTTACAAGTCTTACAACTTTCTATTGCTATATAAATGCATGTGTATAATTGATGCTACTGAGCCAAACTCATGTTCTCATGTAATGTTTGCAGCCATTTTGGCAGGTTGTTAGCTATTCAGATAGTAGGGGTCGAGGAGTGGTTGGTAAGAGGCCTACAAAAGCAGCCCTTGCTTGATAGTTAATTCTTATTATTTTTTTATCATATTCAGTTCATTGACCGGATGCATACTAAGTGATGAGTTTATTCTTTAGGTGCTCTGGAAGCTAATTTCATTGAACCAACTCATAATAAACAAGATTTTGAGAGAACTTCCCTCTTTCAGAAGCTTGAATGTCGCTTGAAGGAAATGACATGGGAATACTGGTGAGATGGCTATTCTGTAGTTCCTTAATTACTTGTGAAAAGCTCTTTGTTGTTTCTTCCTGTTAAGTTGCTCCCCCCTCCTTTTTTTAAAAATTATTTTTTCTCCTAATTAGCTATGCAATATCTATTCCATTTTCCTTTTAAGTATTTTAGGGAACAGACCAATTGGATGTTTATGGATCAATATAATTTCATGTTTTTCATTGCTTTATTTTTTTGTCTGAACAAGTTTTTCATTGCCTTGTTGGCTTTGTTTTTTGGTTAAACAGATTCAGATTGAACTTTGAACCATGAATCTGCCTATAGATGCTGGATAATGCATTTGTAAAATGCAATCCTTAAGCTCTCTTAGTGGCCAACTCTTATCATTATGAGGTTATACTCAAGGTTTTTAGCATAGATTTATGAAATTTGAATTATGTGTTTATATCTTTCAGGGATTATCATTGTGGACTAATAGGATACCAGCCCAAGAAAAAGCCTCGAATACCAGAATCTTCTCAGATTTCATCTGACTATACTGGAAAAAGTAGTGTGCAACAACCTGTTTTACTTAATCAACATTCACTACCTCACTCTCATAGTAGAGCAGCACAAGGCAAGTCCTTAAAAGAAATAATTTGGTTCTCATTCTAATCATATAAGAGATTCCATTTTTAATGACAATTGCTTGTGGTGGGACAGGATTACATACAAAGAGGAAGGAGCAAGGTAATTTAGCTGAATTTGAGAAAGTTAAGCAGCAGGCAGGGAATGGTGGCAATGCAGTTGTACAGGTTTGCACTACATGCTGTATTTTCTCTCTCATTGATGTCTTCTGCCTATACATGCGCATTTTGGTTTATCATTCATTTGCTTCCTGGTGGTTGCATCTATCTTGTTGACCTTTGCTTCGAACAGAGATTCTATTACTAACCCTTTTAATATAATTCTTTGTAGCCTGCCAATACTATTATTTCAAATAACTCCAGAAATCAAGAAGCTACTACCTTGATGCAAGAAAATCAGAAGCTACATGCAAAGTGAGTTTTTCTTGCATTTCCTATTTTTGGATAAGACTGCACTGTTAATCACCATATTTATGGAAGTTTGCCTCGTGTTTCAGATGCTCTGAATATGAGAAAAGAGGCGAAGAACTTAATGTGAAGGTACCTGCTCATTTATGTGACATAATTAAATCTTAGTTTTTGTTTGGCAAATGAAATTTAGCTTTCTTCTCGTGACTTTAAGCCCCATTCCACGTTAATGCCAAACAAGTGCCTTGTACTTGTATCTAGTCTATTATTAAAGGGCCACCTTTTGTTCAGTTTATCTTAATGATATTAAGTTTTTTTGCTCGAGCAGGCGACACAACTCAGAAGGGAAATAGAAGAGGTTCAGCGCGAGTATGATAGGCTATTGAAAGAATTAGAGTCCTTGGATGTTGTCAAGGAGGAAAAGAATGTTAATACGTAGATTTTCTCAATTTTGTCAATTCATTTATCTGTAACATAGTTTTGTACTGTAACATCACGATGTGCATTAGGCTGTCAAAGGAGAAAAAGAAAAAAAAGGAAGTGCCAAAAGTTTCATAGAAGTAGTGATTCCAAATATTAGAAGATACATACCCGTCTCTTTCTTAAATTTGACATCGTAATTTGTTACAACTTCTAAGTTGAAATGGATATAAAAACGACTTAGATGGGTGCAAAAAGACTAAAGAATTTTGTAAACAATAAAAACCAGGAAAAATTTTGCAGTGATCAAATGCCCTATTCTTAGGTTTTATCTGTGGCTCCTGTAACCATCTTGAGGTGAAAAAATGCTGGCCGTAGAAATATGCTCATTTCTTGAAGGAGCCAGTGCCATGGAGTTCACTCTCCAGTACCCGTTATTCCTTCTCTTCACATCTCCATAGACGCATCTCTCTTCTTCCCCTATTTTATCGCTTCCAGCGGTCCCATCTGAGTTGGAGATCGAAACTTTTCTCCAGTTGCACCATATCCTCAGCATGATATAGAGCATCACCAGGCATACGACGGCAGAAGTAAAGACAATGGCAACCGTAATACATACAGCTGCAGTTCTGGAGAGTCTTTTTTTCCCCTGATCAACTGATTCTGTGCATGATAACAAGGGTGGGCCGCATAAATCGTCATTACCCCAGAAAGAGCTGAGTGGGAATTCTGAAAATGTAGAAGGAAGTTTGCCTTTGAGATGATTATTTGAAAGGTTGAGCATGTGGAGGCTGGTCAGCTTGCCTAGTGAAGAAGGAACTTCTCCTTGGAGTTGGTTGAAGGAAAGATTCAACCCCTCCAGCTTCAAAAGATTCCCAAGAGATGATGGAATCTCGCCCGACAAAAGATTTGTACTTAAATCCAAGATCACTTGTAGTTCAGTTAGTCTTCCTAGTTCAGATGGTATTGGACCTGTTAGGAAGTTTTCTGCTAGTCTCAGTTCATACAGCTTGCTGCATTGTTGAAGTGTTGGAGGAATTGAACCAGAGAGGTTGTTTCTTTGCAAATTAAGGACATTAAGAGAAGTGAGTTGTCCAACCTCTTGTGGGATCTCGCCAGAGAGATTGTTGGAGTGAAGAGAAAGCTTAATTAACTGGGAACAGCT